AGGGACTGACTGGAGAACAATTGTCTCTTTGTTTCTTAGGACAATGGATACAGAAGTATTTAACAACAGGGAAAAGTTGTTTATTCAAATGCTAGTACAAATCACAATAACAATTCAGTCGAGGGATTACAATAGGTCCAATGCGGTTTTGATTTACAGATTTACTATTGCTTTTCTCTCACAAAATACATTGACAAGACAATCAGTGATTATAGGCTGGTGTCTATAAGCTGATGATTACCTGTTAATTATTTCACTTTCAAGGTAATATCAAATGATAATGAACCACTAAGGAATAAGGTGATAAGGTGACCATGCAGCCAATCAGAGAAGATGATAGTTAATGTATTGGGTGATGATAAATGACTTAATGATGTGCTTCTAAGGAAATAATTTGGTGAGAATAAAAATCGGATCAGAAAAGCTGTAACATGATACTGGATGGTGATAAAAATAACCATTGACATAGTCTGTTAAGTTACAATTTATATAAGTATAAGCGAGTTAGTTTGAAAAGCTGTAAAGTGATACTTACTTGTGATATGATCAATTACTGAAGTTCTTAGGTATTTTTTGGTGATGACAAACCAGGCAATCAGAGATGCTGTAAGATGATAAATTAGCTGATGATCTAAGGTAATAATTTGTCATAACATAATTAATCAGAGAAGCTGTGTGATGAGACAGTCAGTGGCCATAAACAGGCAATACACACCCTTTCATTCTAAGGTAATTATTGACAATTAAAGATGTCTTTTACCCTTAATTGTCACTGTACATGTGTACCATCACTGATTTCAACAATATTGAAAAGTAAATGAAAATCATGAATGATATCAAACGTGTACAAAATGTTGACTTGTAAACAACACGAAAATAAATATCATTGTTAAGCTGGCAAGTGTAGATTCTCATGATGTTAAGTGCTGGACTTGACCAGCTTGCATAGTGCGAAATGAATTGTTAATATGGGATAATTAATGTGCTTTTACCTACTTTATAATTCTAAAATCAATGTGTTATTTTCTTTGTTTGTAGTCTGTCTTTCACTGTTTTAGATTTGTTATTTTTGAAGGGATTTATTTTTTGCTTTTGTCAATACGGCATAAAAACAGATACCTAAAAGTAAATACTTGGTACTTTGAGAATAAAAGATTAAAAGAAAAAAAAATCGTAATTTCTGTGAAAAATCCATCTCTTTTGCATCAAGCTTTTTGATGACAAAAATGGTCATTTGGACAGTTGAACAAAGCAATCTTGGTTTTAATAAACTGTTTTAGCATGATCAGGATGCTCAATAGTGAACACCAGATAATACAATGAAAAATAAATTTTGCAGCCACTTACTACAGAAGTGAACCGATTCAGCCTTACTGGTAATCTTGATATACACGATAGTTGTACTGCTAGGCTGATGTTTTAATAGCAGAATTCTAAAACATAAGGATAGATCAACTTGTCTACAAGGCAATGCTGTTCGTTCTGTAGCAGACTATTCTTAAAACTCAAATGATCTGATCTTGTTCTCAAATGATCTGATCTTGTTCTCAAATGATCTTATCTTGTTCTAAAGCTATCTGATCTTGTTCTAAAACTATCTGATCTTGTTCTTAAATGATCTGATCTTGTTCTCTAATGATCTTATCTTGTTCTCAAATGATCTTATCTTGTTCTAAAACTATCTGATCTTGTTCTTAAATGATCTGATCTTGTTCTTAAATGATCTGATCTTGTTCTCTAATGATCTGATCTTGTTCTCAAATGATCTTATCTTGTTCTCATATGATCTGATCTTGTTCTCATATGATCTGATCTTGTTCTCAAATGATCTTATCTTGTTCTCATATGATCTGATCTTGTTCTCAAATGATCTTATCTTGTTCTCAAATGATCTTATCTTGTTCTCATATGATCTGATCTTGTTCTCATATGATCTGATCTTGTTCTCATATGATCTGATCTTGTTCTCAAATGATCTGATCTTGTTCTCATATGATCTGATCTTGTTCTCAAATGATCTGATCTTGTTCTAAAGCTATCTGATCTTGTTCTAAAACTATCTGATCTTGTTCTTAAATGATCTGATCTTGTTCTCAAATGATCTGATCTTGTTCTCATATGATCTGATCTTGTTCTCATATGATCTGATCTTGTTCTCATATGATCTGATCTTGTTCTAAAGCTATCTGATCTTGTTCTAAAACTATCTGATCTTGTTCTTAAATGATCTGATCTTGTTCTCATATGATCTGATCTTGGTCTAAAACTATCTGATCCTGTTCTCAAATGATCTGATCCTGTTCTCAAACATCTTGCTGGAAGGAGGGGTAGATGGTTTATCTTCTTGATTCTGTGTGGACATATCCATCTCTGTTCCTGCTCACAAACATTTACATTTCACATCATTATAATTGATTGTTTTGAACCTGAGAGTCAATAAAAGGTTTTGTTTTTGTGATAAGATGTAAAAATGTAATACAAGGAACAGAGATGTAAAGAAAAAAACTCCTTCTTATATTGCTTAAAATAAAATATTGAGTGATACATTATGTATTGCACTAAAGTGCTGGCGAATTTATAAATGCTCAAAGGCTATTAAAACGATAGGTGAGTTTTTTGTGAGGAGAATTGTTTGATACATGGTATCACCAAATGTCTCTTGGCAGTGATTATCTGTATGCATATTTATATGACAGGGAAAAAATCATTGTCATTTTATGAGATGTCAGAGAGTTTTCTATCAAAGATTTAGTCCCATATCAGTATAATTGTAATGATAGCCTGGGCGTTAATGCTGATTAAGGACAAAGTATGACTAGAGGATAATCTAGAATCCAGGTCTCATCAAAGACTAGTATTACAATGTACCAGTTCATTAAGCACACCCTACTGACCTTTGTCTGTAGCCAGTCTTTGAGAATCTGTTAATTATCTTTCTTCAGGTTTGCAAAGCATGAAGAACATTCGTTGTGTCACAGTGCCTATATCATAAAGGTCTGAAATAATTCTGGTTCAGTGTTTAAGCTTAGCTATATATAGTTGTGGCTTGCAGGAATAGAATGTCATCAATGTATAATGCACAGGGTCATATAAAGTTTAAGCTTGGTCTGCATGTCTGCATCTGCATGTTTTCATTTATCATCTTATAAATATTTAAAGAATTCAGATGAAATTAGTATTTTTGAAAATGCCCTTGAAGTCAACAACATCATATTAAATTCACTTCATTCACATTTTCAACTTTTCTCTTGTGATTTTTTTTTTTATTTCTTTTTGTATTATTGGAGTTGGTAATTATAATATGATCCATAGACAAACAAATTGTGTAACTACATGATTGTAAAACATTAAATGTTGACACTTAAAATATTTTTGTGAAATACTGATTTAGGTAGTGATCTTAAAAAGGATTCTGTCAATTAAGTTATCACATACATGTGTTTGAAATGTCAACAAGCAATGATAACAATAAATTATTATTACAAAACTGTTGTACAGAATTCTGAATGTTAATTTTCCTGTTTTCAGCCATAATGTATCACAAGAAGAATGAATGAGGATATAACTACTGTACCTTTAATCTTACTGATCCATAAGTTTTGTATTAACTGGTTACTTTCTGTAAACACTTCTTTAAGCTCAAATATGTAGTCTATGAAAACAATGCCTGTAATTTGGCTTTGATTAGAACACGGTTAAATCTAAACCTATGGTGTGGGGTGTGTTTTGGTCAAGCACTCACTTATACAAAGCATATTCTTGAAAGTTTACTTTAAAAAATTCAGACATTGATATATATAAAGTAATTAATTTGAGATGAAATATTTCTTTGATGCAAGTCTTATTCCTGTCATTGAATAAGTTTCCATGAAAATAATTATTCCTGACAATTGATGTAATTTACAATGTCTACAGTCTTAACATTAACATTTACTCACAGTAGGAAAGCATTAGTAATTCACAACATATTACAGATATAAAAGTAGGAAATTATTCTGACAGGTCAATATGTGAAATTAATGTGAATAGATATTGTGGTAGCTCAATGTCCCAGCATGCAGTAATTGCAGTAGAGTAAATTGTTTTATGTGTGGTGATAAAGTCTGCATGGCTCCATGTCTCTGTATCCAAATGGCTTCTTTTTGTGTGTTTTGAAGGCAATGTCATCCAGTCCAGATCATCAAACTGTTTTATGATATCGGAACTATCCAGAAGATGTTTTGTGTGCATATACTTTTCCCACACCCTTTGTGAAACCTACTTTTCCCACACCCTTTGTGAAACCTACTTTTCCCACACCTTCTGTGAAACCTACTTTTCCTACTCCTGTGAAACCTACTTTTCCCACACCCTTTGTGAAACCTACTTTTCCTACTCCTTCTGTGAAACCTACTTTTCCCACACCCTTTGTGAAACCAACTTTTCCTGCTCCTTTTAAGAAACCAACTTTTCCTACATCTTTCTTGAAACCTTATTTTCCCACACCTTTTGTGAAACTTGCTTTTGTGACACCTTCTGTGAAACCTACTTTTCCCACACCCTTTGTGAAAACTACTTTTCCCACACCTTTAGTGAAAACTACTTTTCCAAAACCTTTTGTGAAACCTTCTTTTCCTACACCTTTTAATTTGTCAACCCTACTTTTCTTACAATTTTTGTGGTACATTGTTCCTATATTGCCCTGTCCAAATTTCCATTTCTTTCATCTGAAAAATATAGTGTAAAACCATTTGATCAATCAGTCAAGTTTCAGATATGGTCAATGAAATAGTCACTTTAATGCATTTTAAAGATGTGCATCAACTCAGTTAAGTGACCTGATCCCGATTACTCATGGTATTCAAGCTTCCATTCAGAGTAGAATCTATGAAGATATAGTGGTACTTTTGTATATTATTATTCTAGAATGCAGAGTTTTACATGTAAGTGTTAATGAGATTTTCTTGGAGTTTAAAGTTACAGACATTTTTCACATGACATTACAAAACACTTAATTTTCTCTATAGTCTGTGTTCCTCTTGGCCATCACGTTCTACAATTCCAGCAACACTATTTTCTGGAGAACCTGCCTTTTTGATCTCCTTCATTTCATAGTCTGTTGCACTTTGCAGTATTGTGTGTGGTGGACTAGAAGCACGAGCCTCACTATAGACCGTCTCCTCCCTATCTTCATCTCTGTGATTGTATGCAGAGTTAGACTCTAGCTCAGCTGGCCCATATGACTGCACTGGACTTGTTAGAGCCACCCCAGTACCATGGTGGTGATTCCCTCCAGAACTCTGATGATGGTGCACTCCAGTGTTGTGATGGTGGTGATGGTGGTGATGCACACCAGAATGATGGTGATGGTTGTGATTCAGGTCTTCTCTGTGACCAAGATCGAGGCTTTGCTGACGTTCAATGGAATGTGCAAGGCTTGAGGTGGGGTGATGACCATGGTAGGAATGATGCGAGTAGTGACTGGGAATAAAGACCTTGGGTCGTGCTCCCATGTACTTGGTCTGCTGTGAGTGAGAAATGCTGGGAACATGATTTCTGTTCCCATTACACATTTTGTCAGTGTTTCGATGTTCCTTCAAATGACAGTTGTTCTGAACATTTTCAAATGAGTATTCATTACATGGTTCTATTTCTGATACAAATTCATCATCATGTCCATGTGTGGCAGTATCACTAAATTCAAAATGGTCATCATGGTAATGCGATGACATGCTGTCATACTTCTGTGACTTTTTGTACTGTTTACCACGCCACTTGACCACTGACGGACATCTGGACACAAGAACAACAAGCACAATCATAGATAGTGCCAGGATGGCGCCAATACTGCTGCCGATCGATACAGGGATATGCCAGTTAGTTGTGGATGCGTCCACACACTCACGAATTGGCTGGGTATCGTTACGATACATTACAAGGCATACTTTGTAGTATGTGTCTGCCACTAGGTTCTGTATGCTATATTGTCCTATTGATGCTGAAAGCATTGGTCCATACTGTATATAAGTGCTGGCAACTTTCTGGTAGTGGACACGAAAACCCTCTACATGAGCACTGGTGTCTTGGTTGATCTCCCAGGCTACATGGATACTAGAGGTAGTCGAAGATGTCACTTGCACAGTTTCCATGTATGATGGGGCCTGACTAGATTCCATTGTTAGATGGTCAAGAATCATCTCAATCAGACACAAGCATATAGTAAAATATCACAGGATGTAGGAAGGGAGATAACTCTTAATCCAAAAGGTATAATGTTAGAAATGATTCATCAGAAGTCCAGTCATTGTGTTGATCAATCTGTCTGAGAATGAGCACTTCAAGCTGTGTAACCAGGAACTATCTGTAAAACAAAAAATACTTCTTAACAAGTTATGTTTAGAATGGTCTGTGATAGATATTGAAAACAAATTAATAGTGACATGACTTGCTATAAACCAATTAGGGTTACATCACAATTATGCTTTAAACTAAATAAAAAAACAACTGACATAGTTTTTCTTTAAATCTGTGAATTTCACATATCAGCATCAACGTTTTCTTCTAAAATCGAGTTTAAATACTGGCAATATAGTTGTCATTTTTGCTACCAAGTTAAAAATGCTTACAATACTGAAGTTTATACATAGTACAACAGTGTTATCCTGAAACATAGGGAAGAATATAGAAGGCAATTATTTATACATAATTCATAAAAATAAATAAATAAAAACAATTTGAACACAAAAAACAGACAAATTACTACAATACATGTTTTTGAAATCCAAGCTCATATAAAAAGATCATATGTGTAAGGACCAAGTTGATGTTTCTGGATTGTATCGGTAGGCTGTTACAGTTAAGAAGTGTACAGGAGTGATTTACATGCTCCTGTATGATGAAGGTAAAAAGAGCGTATAAATAATTCCTTCTGGCAAATTTTTAAAAGCTCTGGATTTTCTATACTCACAGATCTACAGACTTTCTAGTGAACACTCTTGTACCTTATACCAGATGATTATTTGTCTTATTTGCCTGGATCCATTACACATGATAAATCCTTTATAAAATCCAAACAAGGTTCACACATCGATTCATTGACAAGTACTCATTCATGCCTTTCTTGTCTTTTTGATAGTAATAAAGACTTTTAGACATGACATCTCCCCCTCCTCCCAACAGATGGTCAAAAGAGGTTTGTAATAAGTGGAACACAATAACCACAGCGGTATAGCAGTATATTGAGGTAATGAGTGTTGTAATATTTACTGTACATACAGTGTCAGCTGCTGTAAACGTTAGCTAATGTCACAAAATAATTTGAGTAATTAGTTAATGTTCTGCCTTCCATAGTAAAGTATTCAGTATGTACTTATGCTGTCCATGTTTATACATTCTGTTTTTATCTATTTATCTATACCTCAGTCTTCATTGCAACAACTTCATTTCTGAAGATACAGTCTAATAGAATCTTTCACCCCCTTTGGGTTGAGACAGGGGGATCTCAACCCGAGGGGGGATTATTAAGTTGTCAAATACGAGGCTTGCCGAGGGTTAAGATTCCCCTGTCTCATTCCAGAGGGGGTGAATGATTATTTTTCTCTTTCCCTGTTCCCCCGCTGATTGTAAAATACGAAATAGAGTGTTTGTAAACAAAAACATGTAGACAACGTATGAATATAGTGACGAGGCCGTCTCAACCGCGTCACGCTTAATTGTGATGTCCTGCACAAAATATAATTCCCATTAACGATACAGTAAAACTAAAAAAGGCATAATATTAATGATAAAAAAACAATTTTAATGTGAAAGTATGGATGAGATGACTTCAATATATACACAAAATCAACACATATTATTAAATCGTTATTTTACAATGACGTCAATTACATGTCAAGTTCCACTTCCGGGTCAAGATAGTGACGTCACATTATTGATGAAAAATGCGCAAGGAGCGCGTGTTGCTTGTCTCAACCTTAGGGTGAGATAAAAAAATCTCACACCAGTAAAAACTCTGGATATCCCTGTCCGGGGTAAGAGAAAAAGCTGTCATAATGGCTATACAAACACGCCACCTATCTCTTGGCCATTTTTTTGGTTCCCAATGTAATGCAATTCATAGTAATTGTGCCTCTATATGATGACCACATTAATAGAAAAACCTTCAAGAGATTTGCAAGTCAAAGGTCATGGTCTTGTTATTTATAGCAAAAAACTGTAAAGAGATTGGCTTGTTTAAAGATCAGGGTCACCATAACTTTTTATACCATTAAGGAACACATGAGTAATTTCATTCCTGAAGGGATTCATTTTTGATCAGATTTTACACAAAGTACAAATGATATTATAAGACTAGGTTACTGCTGAATTTGTGTTTGAAGGTTTCTGGTTTTAGAAATTTGTCAAACTAGGCAATGGGAGGGAATGGACGTAGGTGAGGGTATCCAAGTCTTACAAACATTTTCTTATTTCAATGAAATTCTGATGCATATGTACTAATGTATTAAAAGTCTCTTTACTTATAATTTTTAGCCCACTATCACCGATGGCAGAGAGTTCAAATTGTCCTTCATCTGACTGGTCTGTTGTCCATGGTAAGATGTCATATCTGTTGGTCTTTCCTCAAAAAGTCTTGTCATCACTGTTTCTTGAGAGGTACTGGATGGTCATTTTCAAATTTCAAATGTAGGTTTCCCTTCGTCTGCATTTTCTATCTTTGGACGGGTCCAAAAAACAAAATGGCAGATAGGCATCCATCATGGATTTGTCAGTAACAGTTGCGATTTCTTGAGAAGTACTTGAGTAAATATTAAAAGATCAAACAATGAAGGGTGTCAAAGGATCACTTGTTTAATTGTATTAAACAAAATTAAGTTCCATTATCTAAAACACCTGGTCACAGAAACCTACGCCTGGTCATCAAATCATTATATCACCTTTGTGTTCTGTATTATAATGTTAACTGGTATACAGTGGACGAATGTGATCATATTTACGACAGGAAATTAATCACAATATTTACCTGGCTATAGAGTTACACACAAAATAATGACCTTCAGGACACTGAATCAGGTTCTGTTTATGCAGGTGGAAATATTTCTCATAGATCTCAGACTACATATACTCAACAAAAAAAGAAACGCACAATTAAATTATGTAATCAATAGCCTATGATATGTTGGGAAATTTGTACAAAATTTTATATCAATGTGAAGGGACAGGTCTACTCTTTACAGAACTGTAGAGGAAAAGTCTGTGTGACGTCACTCATGTCATCACTAGTTACTCAATGTATGATATCCATGATAGACAAAAGAACACTTCAGTACCTTGTGTAGGTATCTCTTGCATGAATCCCTACACAGATTCTCCTATGCATTGAATTCATGAGAACATTAATTCACTTTAAGGGAATGTTGCTCCATTTTTGTTTTAATGCTGCAAACAACTGGGCTCAGTTAGTTGGTGGAGTTTTGACATTTCCTAATATGTCTGTCCAGCTCATCCCACAGATGCTCAATGGGAGAAATGTCGGGGCTATATGGGGGCCATACTAGAGGCTGAATGCTGTTTGCCTTGAGAAAATCAATGCAGACTGGCAACATGTAGTCCAAGATTGTTTTGCTGGAAAATTAGGTTATGACATCTTAGAAGGGTCTCAAATTTCCCCATGGGGAGGAGGTGAAGTTTATTATAGTTTATAAAGGAAAAAAGATTTTTGAGCGTAATTTGTCTAATTTCCATTAGAAGTATTTCAATTATGAAGGAAGGATGACAGCTTGATGGTATGCCCATATAATCCTGGTTGACTCCAAAAGGGCTGAGGGGCAGGGCCAATAAGGGTCAAATTGATTTAAATTTCAGATATCTTCTCAACACCCAGGTGTGATAGAATCCCACTGGAAATAACTTTGTAAGAATTATTAGTATAGGATGAAAGGTTTGATGGTATGCATGTATTGACACTGGCTTACTATATTTGGTGTCATAATTTCTGTTTTATAACGCTGGATATGCTATAAACTTTAGATTCAATATTGCTTATCTCAGGTGATGGTCAAGTCAGCTAGGCCTTTTGTTTAAGACCAGTGATTGAAGTTGAAACTTTCAAATACTGAGATATCAAGCGATTCTTGCATATTTCATGATTTAAGCAGGTTATGATATGAGCAGTATCCGGTTGACCTGACAAAATCATGCAGGTTTACAACACTGGGAGATATCTATTGTAAATTGTATGTCAGTATCTGTCATTGTAAAACCTTACACTGATTTGTAAGCATTGTTTGTTTGTATGATAATAATAATAAAAAAACACCCATATTTCATTGAATTGCACATGTGCAGTGACCACGTAAAATAAGAATAAATAGTGTCTGAACTATCTCTCAGTGGGAAATTTTTATTTTAATTAAAAAGTCACCTGTCTGATTTAATCACTGAATTGAACTGAGTCGATGTTTACTATATCTGTATGTCATATTTTGTATATCATGTTGTCAAGATGTGTTTTGTGATGATTTTATTTGATATTTAATGAAGTGTCATCTTTTAATTTTTGGTGAAATGTTTAAGATATTAACATATTTTGTATAAAGTGTGTTTGTATGTATTGTAGTTTTGTCAGTATCACCTGTGAACTGTTTATATATATCATACATAATCAGTGTGGAACAGGAATTACCAGTTCTACTCTTCTGCCTGTATTTTAGGTTAGTAAACTGTCAGTTCCACTGTGTACCCAGTGGACCCATGTTACAGTTCTTCTACAAAATTGTGAATTGTAATCAGAACTGTATGAGTTTGTCAATGATGGACATCACAAGGGGGAGGGGGCTCATCTCTCATAAGGGACATCACTGTGATGGATTTTTTTAATTGAAAATCAGAATCACACTACATTGAACAGATTCTAGTCTGAGTTATGGCCCCTTGGGGACTGCTGTCACTTACAAATGGCCATGGCATTTTGCCTGTAGCTGTTAGCTGTATAGATTGTCAGCAATAAGGCTATACTTAGATCATTGGTTTACTCATAGAATTGATTTTTTTAAACCTTTCTCATGCAGGATTGTGTGAGTAAGTTTGAGTGCAAACAGTGCTGTAAAAATGAAAAATTACATGAAGTGTACTATATAGTAAATTATACCATCACAATGACAGGACATCATAGTGTAATAAATGGCAATTCACACCATTG